ATATTGCTCGGTTGCACTAAATAGCAAAAAATATGGTAACCAACAGTTACAATCAGTTCAAGAGTACAAGTCAAAACGCCACAGAGACTTATCTTTACACAAGCCTTTGGATCGAACACCCTTAAAACGCAAAATAGGCCAGATCAGAAAGTTCTGCCTAACACCTCACAATCTACTCGAATCACAAAAGATTTAGCACCCAAATCACTCAAAGAATCCTCACTTCACAACAATCAGAAGTAGATATAAGAGAATATACAGTTTACATGATTCAAACACTCAAGAATGTAAACCCTAGGTAAGAATGAGGTTATTCTCTCTAAAGGAAAGAGAACACACGCAAGAGCCAAAATTAGAAGAGTGAGACGAATGAATCCCCAAAAGCGTCTCATGGAAGATAAAGGTAGAAGCCTCTAGAATCACATCCAAGGGTGAGTGAAATGTCAAGTGTCAACAATTCAGCCTTAGTCTCCAAATAATAGAAGTGTCAGAAACACGACTTTAACATAATTGTTGGGAAGCACATAATAGTCCAGGTTCGAGTCTTAACACAACTGAACTGAGCCACCAGAGAGACTTTTGCGCGAGGAATTTTGACTCCTATTTTGCAAAAAATGAGTCCTCCAGAGCTGTACTTCCGCTGACTGCAAAATTCACACCTTCCTGAAAACTCCTGCTTACATTTCCTTCGCCGTGGAATGAAGGCACAAATGGAAGCCCCATATCTTGAGCTGCAAGGAGAATATATATCAAGAAACCAAGAGAAATAGTAAAAGAAATGGGCAAACATAAAATAAACTTGTGAGTTCTGTATGTAATTGTAATTGTATGTACAGCCGGCAATAATTTTCTGTGAATGTGTGTGTGTAGTTGACGTACCAATGAAATCGATGATAAGACGGCCGTCGGAGAACCGGCCGGTGGGATGATGAAAGAAAGTTTCTCCATAAGGTAGGAACCCACAGAGTGGTGGCTTCTTGTTGGACGAAGTTGATTCTAAATAAAGCAAATTTCCAGTATCAGCAATTGAATCACCAAAATTGATTATGGATTTGTAGCGTCCACATGCATATTTGCTTGCTGATAATAGAAAGAGGACAGCACAGGCGAATGCAGTTTTTAATGGGGAAGTTTTTGAAGCCATGGCTGAGACTAAAATTAGACTTACTGTTTTTTAAATAATTTTTTTCATTTATAAATGTCGGCAGTAAATAATTAATGAAGTTGCATTATTTTAGTAAGGAGTATGTAACCATCTATGTGACAATTAAGTCTATACAGA